TCGCAAAAGCAACGCCCCCTAGTTATTGTTGCTACAAATGGTCAAACACGACCAGCGCGACAGATTGCCATGACGGGAAGAGGTATAAGTTAACGTTACCCGTGCATGTCAGTGACCTTTTTTTGGAGCAATACCTCCGCAATATCCTCCAGATCGAGGCACAAGGGGTTACAGTATGCAGTGGAGGGATATATTCAAAATATAAAAATACGCAATGAAGGAAACACGACTACTAAAGAGGCTAATGCTTATACCGGTCTCAAGCGAAATCTGAGAAACCATGACCTGTACGTTACCTCAAATGCAACCAGCACAGCCTTGAAGAAGATTTTATAAGCTGGTTCAGTGGCTAATGTTTGGAGTTAGAAATATATAACTCGCACTGCATATTTAGTAATTTTGCCTCAGATACAGGATTATACATTCGGTTTAACAAGCAGTTGTTCATTTCCACGGCAACCACTTGCGTGTCATGCTGAATGCGATTTTCGTGTTTAAAAAGTAACTATACATAAGAGACGGAAAGATGCAGATAACCATACATTATTTAAGGTTATTTCTATTCGTTACGATATTGATATATGAACTGATGTTGTCAAGTAAGCTTCATGCTTTCCCCGTTGCGCTCGTGCACTCCTCTAAACTGTAACTTAGTCTACGGGTGCTGCACTGCTGCTCATTTTCCCCCGAGAATATCATGTTAACTTTAACAACAACCCTTTAGAAAACGTAATTCCTTTGTGGATGCTCTTGATCTGCTTTCTTCATGTTTCTTTGACTAATCTCGGTTTCTCAGTCTCACGCACACTGTACGCGAGTTAACCATGTTCGACACATTTAACTGGGAGTGGGGCCGTCCACACTGTTTTTATCCATTGTAGGCACCGCTCACGTTGTGTTTTCGGCTTTGGAAACGGAAAGAACAACTCCTCCAGACAATCTCTCGGGGTATCTAGTGTCCGATTTACAAACGCCGTGGGCGCACCGCTTCACCATCTTGCTTGGAGTCAATGTTTGACGGACCTGCTCACATAGTAACGGTTGCTATGATGTGTGATTGGACAATGGCCGTTTTGGGGGAGGGGCCGGCGAAAGATCAATTGCATTGAGAGTTGTTTTAAACTATCCTCAACATATAAGATGATCAAAGTTGTTTTAATTCTCAACAATTGAAGTGTAGAGGGGATTTGTAGCTTCTATCCTTCAACAGAAACCTGGGGTCCGAGTACTTGAGGTGTGGTGGAGTGAACAACAAGTGGTCTGAGGCCACTGGTTACCAGTTAACTTTAACCAAACTGGGTTTGGTTCATTTAAAGTTCATTTAACTATATGTGACACCACACTTAAAGTGGAAAACAAATGAGTCTTGAGTAAGGATCCAGCACCTTGACTGTTTAGTCATGATAAATGTGTGCTCCTTTATTTGATGTTGGAACACAGATTTCCCAACCCTGGTCCTAATCAAACACATTCAACTCATCAGTTCATTATAGAGTTTGAAAGACCTGAGCTGGGTGTGTCTGATGAGGAAACATTCAAGTTCCTCCTTTCTGGTTTCCCAACGCATTGAACGAGGCATCACTCACTCTTTTTGACGTCGCTAAATCTTTGAACCGATGACTAATAAGAAGTGCATGTTTGGTTGGAAACCAGTAAACTTTTCCCCCCATCCAAAAAAAAAAACAAATAGAAAAATCACATCCTTGTTGGCAGTTATTTATACTCTGACTGGTAAAGAAACACCCTTCTTGAACAAAAACTGTTTTTTTTTTTTTTCAAATCCCCTTCAACTATAACAATTGCACATTGGTGGATAATTCTAAATGCTTTCTATCCTTTCTTTAATTTCATTTCAACACAAACTCAGTAAACAATGTTAATAGCGTTTAGAAGTAGATGCTCATTGCAGTGTTACTCATTTAATGCTCTTCACGCTACTGATTAGAAGAGAAGGGAAGAGGAGGAAAAAGTTTTAAAGCACTCGTTTGGGAAAGTGGCTGCTCCCGTTTGACACTGGTTGACACAATAATTGGTTTTGATGGTCCACTTTAGACACTATAAGTAACTTTGTAACTACATGTCAACTAACTGTCATTAGAGTGAAGACTAATAGTAAACTGTCAGGTTAGGGTAATAAGTTGACGTAGTTGCAAAGTTAGTTTTGTTTTAAAATCACTGTTTCTTTATAATTTTCTTAGTTTTTTTCTAATCAGTTATGTACATTAGGGTTTTATGTTACATTTAATGTTGTTAAATTAATGCTTATTGCATTTTTTTTATTTCAACATGTTACCATGATGGTGTTCAATGTTTGTGTGAATGACACTGTGCAGCTTCTGTATTTTAGTATTAACTCTCTTGTGGAAGAGCTGCTTATGATGAGCTTTGGTTGACCATTTGACTCTCATCACTGCTGTGATTGTTGACTGTCAGTGTATTACAATGGAAAAAAACAGATATTAATACTTCAAAAGTTCAGTATATTAACATTATATCAGATAATGAAATACGGTTTATCGCTATAAAATTATATACGGTTAAAAGTTGTAAAACCTAAAACGTTGCTACCGTATTTTTAACAGGAAAACTCTGGTAACCACAGCTGCCAGGTTTTTCTTGTAAATATAACGGGTTTTTTTTTACAGTGTACGCTAAATTATTTACGATAGCCGTAATAGACAATTCCTCTTCCAACCTGTAGGGCGACCGCAGAGGAAAAGTTCCTTAGTGTTGCTTTAAATAGAAGCTGCAATAGTCTTTTTTCCCCTATTGTGCCGTGTATCCGAGTGAAACAGCTTCTGGAACCAGATCAAATGTGGGCGGGGCTTGACTTTGCCTGTGGGGAGATGATTGGATGGTTGTGGTTTGCTATTGGCTGATCTCATGTGAGTGACAGATCATTGCTCCGCCCTCGTCATCAGAGAAGAGAAGAGATGCTGCAAGAGGAAGATATTCTGATTCAAGATTACCAGAAACATGAGTTTAAATTAATAATGATGTGCACTGGTAAAATTATTTGTTCATTTTGATTGTTCATTTCATGGTGACTTTAATGTGCCAGTTTCAAAATGAATGACAGCAAATGGCAAACATGGGCACTTGAGATATTTAATGCGATCATGCGAGCGTGATGTTGTTCTGAACATCAGCATCACGTCGGGTGGATCTTTGTCTCAGTGTTGTGCATTTACTGCACACATAGCCACGGATTTGCCCTTACGTAAAGCTCACAGGAGTTTGATCTAGTGCTGACCACAAAACACACGGCACATAAAGTCATCATGATGACTTACTCTATGACGATCAATCTTTCATGCGTGTGCTGACACCTTCTCTGCGTCTGCAGAAAGAGCATCAGATGTTCGAGATGTTGTGCCTCTTCTTGCTGTGGCCTGAGCGCTGAATGTGTTTAATGCGTATCAGGTTCAGCGGTCATCTTAGCATCAGGCGTCTGTCCTGGAGCACATAATGCTCACATTGACTGCGCTGAATGAAGGAGGGATTGTGTGTGTGTGCTGATGTGTGTGAATAAGGAAAAGATACTGTCTTGCTCAGAATGACCAAACCTGTTCTTACCTGTTTTTCTTCTACCTGAGCCTGGAGTGCTCAAATAATAGTCCAAGGACTACTAATTTCTAGTAGTGCATTAGTGTATTACAGTTATAGCTGATGTTATTACTGTTTCTCATAGTATTATATACACTAAAAGTTTGTTGATAGTTTGTAAAAACTCAGTCATTAGCAGCAAAGCGAGTTCTTCTGAGTCTTCTTCATGTATTTGCAGTGACCAGAGTTATTAGAGCCTTATTAACGGTTATCAAAAGAATTTTGATTGTATTTCAAGATGAATATTTACTGGACTGAAGCAACTCAGCTTTACTTGATTGTCCAGGAAACATTTTATAGAAAAATCATGAGCAACAAATATGATCATCAGGCTTTTGGGGAAGGTTCATCTGTTCATCTCTCAATCATCATTGTGTTGCATTGCATTATATGTTTTAAAACTAGAGCTTTGATTATTAAACTAAGCATTGAAATATCATCTTACTTATAAATATCAGTCATCAGACTCGTCACTCTATATCTGCCAATAATATGTCTATGCATTAAGTATCTGCTATACTGTTATAAATATATTATTGATGTACATTACATGTAAATATCAGCATCTGCAGCAAACTGCATATTTTTAACTGCATATTTTTCCTCTGAATAAAGTTTGTTTTTTATCTCGATTATGAGCTCCATATTCTCACAATATCATAATTATCTTATGCAATTTTTAAAATAGGTTTTTATAAAATATTTAGTCTAAAGATTCATTGAAAAGGTCAGTTTCAAAAACTTTGATTTGTCTGACTTTTTTATATGTCAGGCTTTACAGGGTTAAACACATTCATGGATATTTTGACGACACCTGATTAGAACAAATCCTACTGTACCTACAGTCAACGCTATAACTTAAAAGCATTACAATTCTGCAACTCTGATCAAGGAAGTTAAAATTTAGCATGTATAGACTATAAGTTTCACATATTTGATATACACATGCATGTCTTTGGCTCTGTTTATAGAGTCTACAAGGAAGCATAATTAATATTTAGTATTATTTAGAATTGAATTAATGAATTTACGGACGTGTTTTTCACCTAAACTCTGCTCTAGTTTCGCAGGTTATTATTTTTATTGATAGTGCTAGTACTACTATGACTTATCTTCAGTGATGAAAAATATGTGCAAAAATTACTAGCTATACCAGCAAATAAGACAAATATTATTACACACACACACACACACACACACACACACACACACACACACACACACACACACACACACACACACACACACACACACACACACACACACACACACACACACACACACACACGCATGCACACACACACACACACACACACACACACACACACACACACACACACACACACACACACACACACACACACACACTTTTAACGGTCAAGCTTTTCAAGATAGTCTTTCTTTCCTGACATAATCTCTTTCCATTCTTCACAGGTTCTTCTCATCAGCACCAGTGGGGTTACCATGGTAAATATATAAACTATAACTGCCCACAATAACTTTTTTCCTTTCCTTTTCCTTTAAATAACTTTTAAGAGTTTTCCTTATGATTTTGCACTGAATTTCAAACTTACTAGCAGACAGTCTTACTAGTTACAGTACTTTAACCCAGTAACACTGTAATATAGGTATAATAGCCTACAGTGAGTGAAGGGAATCATAATTTATATTATTTGGTTTAGACATTTTGTTGCACTTATTTCATTATATAAAAGACTAGATTTTTTGTACAAGTCATTTCATAACAAATGAAAAATGTAATTACAATCAAATCAGGTCAACATGAAATCACTCTAGTAAGTGACATTTACTCGCACTTCCTAAAGAGTGAATAAAAACATGTATTTAAACATACAGTATCTGAATAATGAAACCGAAGGAGAGAAGGCAGGTCCAACACACTGGCCATGGGATGTGTCCCTCTGTCCTGCTGAAGACGAGTCCTCCTGCTGTTTAGCTGCGGCACATCGCATTAGTTTGACGTGATAAAACATCTAAAAAAAAAAAAGCTAAAAAAAAATGACATTTTTTACTCTGCGTGACGTTTTTGCCTCTTTATGTTGTCAGTGTCAGAAACACGGTAAACTGTGTCCTTTCACAATCTGTGTTTCCATCATGAGCATCATTATTCAGTTGGTTTAATCATGTTTGACCTATTTGTTGAACATAACAGGATTTAGTCTGGTAGCATTGTGCCACTTTATTCACTTGTGAATGATAAGCATTTTCATTTTTGAAATATATGAACTGCTTGTCTATTATAGAGCACTTCATGGGCCTCGTCACCTGTGTCGCTCATAAAGCGAACCAGAGCGATTTCCCATAGTCAGTGTTTTGTACTAAATGAAACACATGAATGAGAACCTTAAAGGAGTAGTTCACTTCAGTATTAAAATTTCCTGATAGTTTACTTTTCCACACGCCATCCAAGATATTAATGTCGTTCTTTCTTCAGTCAAAAAGAAATGAAGGTTTTTGAGGAAAACATGGAGTTCCCTTTCGAACGGTCACTTCGTATTGCGTAGCTATACGCAGTGGGGAAACTCCTTTTCCTCGATTTCCTGAAGCCTTTATGTAAAGCGCATTTGCAGCTGCACAGCAGAACATGAGCGTCTGGCTCGCTCATAGGCTGCGCTGCGGCAACTGCATATCCAATGGCGCGGGCGCCTCTGACGTGCGACCAATGAGATCACTCTGCATCATACACGTCAGAGCCCACCTAGGGGGCGTGTCCTCAGACTATAATAGTCCCCGAATTCGCCATTATAGCAGATTTTACTCCTTCAGCGAAAAAATTCACGTCTCTGACCATTTATTGAAACCTTCGCCGTCGAACAAGCCTTCAGCCTGAGCGAGCTACAGTTCAGCAGACGACACTTCAACCGTGTTTCTCCTGACGCCGTCTCTCCTGTGGCTATCCGGCGATATCCTTTTTCATTACTCATTGCATTTAACTGTGTGTTTTATCTGTACGAGCGTTGTTTCAAATGCCTCGTGTCAAGACCTGCGCCACGTGCCTGCGCCTCCGGTCAGGCTGCATCAGCCCTGCACACGATGTCCGTGCTGCAGGTTTACCAGGCCAAACTCCTCCGGTCTCTGGACGAGGCTGGCCCCGGACCCTGAGGCCTTTCGGGACCTGCGAAGCGCCACGGACTTGGCCTTGAGAGCTACCAAGGCCACAGCACAGGCTATCGGGAGGAATATGACGAGTTTGGTCGTGCTCGAACGCCACCTCTGGCTTACCCTCACTGACATTAAGGACGCGGAGAGAACGAGGTTCCTCGACGCCCCAGTATCCAGTACCGGCCTCTTCGGCCCGGCGGTGAAGGGGTTCTCGGAGAGATACACCGAGGCACAGAAAGCGTCCCACGCCATGCGTCACTTCTTGTCTAAACCCTCTAGCTCGGCGTCGAGTGCTCACAAGCTAGCCCCGTCGACGCCTCGGCCAACAAAGCCCGCAAAACAAGCCTCTCAGCCCCGCCCTGCGGCTGATGCCCAGCGCCAGCCGAGAGCAACCAAGCGCTTCCCGCTTCCCCGACGCCAATGCCTGAGACCAAGCACCGCGCCCCACTCAGCGCCGCCAAAGTCGTCCTAGCACGCAGAGGAAAGAGAGAGGGCACGGGTCCCGCACTAGCCGGACCACCCTCGAAGAAGCCAAGAAAACTTCCCACAGCCCCCTGTTCAGTTCAGGCGGCTGGGGATTTTATTACTGCAAACAGGCCCGCAACAGTAAGCGCGTTCTTGCAAACAAACGCCATTTTCACGGCGACCCAAATAAAGCACAAAAAGAGCATGTTTCACAAACACAACACACGGGTTCACGGTCCCCCTTCATCAGGCGGCCCCTCCCCCGTTGTAATACTGACTTCCCCACACGCGAACGCTTGTACAGTCAGTCCAATACTCAATGTGTGCACAAATCACAATATAAGGGTGTCAGGTCCCCCTTCACTAGGCGGCCCCTCCCCTGTTGTAACACTGACTTCTCCACACGCAAATGCTTGTATAGTCAGTCCAATACTCAATGTGTGCAAAAATCACAATATAATGGTATCTGGTCCCCCTGCATTAGGCGACCAGCCCCAATCTGTGTGTCAAGCCCTAGCCACACGGGTTCTAGCCTGGCAAGCTATCCCCGGTGTGTCGAGTTGGGTCATAAACACTATAAAACGAGGTTACTCGCTCCAATTCGCTCGCAGACCCCCAAAATTTCAGGCGGTTCTCGAGACTTCGGTGAGAAGCAAAGTGGGTCACGTGCTTCGCAGCGAAGTACAGAATCTTTTAGCAAAAGGGGCGATAGAATTAGTCCCCCCCCCCGCGCTAAAACATATGGGTTTTTACAGCCGCTATTTTCTGATTCCGAAAAAAGACGGCAGTCTCAGACCCATTCTAGATTTGAGACATTTGAACAAAGCTCTCATGAGGCGGCCGTTCAAAATGTTAACTATCAAACATATCCTCGCGCAAGTGCGCCCGGGGGATTGGTTTGTCACAATGGATCTGAAAGATGCTTACTTTCACATTCAAATAAATCCTCGTCACAGGCCATTCTTGAGATTCGCCTTCGAGGGCCAGGCTTATCAATACACCGTTCTGCCTATCTTTGGCACCTCGCACATTCACGAAGTGTGTGGATGCGGCGCTTTCTCCTCTGAGACATCAGGGAGTGCGCGTGTTGAATTATCTCGATGACTGGCTGGTGCTGGCACAGTCGAGAATCGAGCTATTAGCTCACAGAGATTTGATTCTCGGCCATCTAAAATGCCTGGGTTTCACAATCAATGTTTCAAAAAGCAAACTAACCCCCAGCCAGAGCGTGATCTTTCTGGGCACAGTTTTAGACTCGAGAGCTATGACAGCGCGACTCACACCAGAGCGCGCGCTCTCAGTGCGAGCGCTTGCAGGCACTTTCAGAGCGCGCGAGCGCGCGCCACTGAAGAAATTTCAGAAACTGCTTGGTCTCATGGCAGCAGCATCGCCAGTACTCCGCTTGGAATTACTGCGCATGCGCCCGCTGCAGCATTGGCTGAAACGCCATGTGCCAACTCACGCATGGCAGTCAGGCAACTTGCGCGTTATAGTGAATCACGGTTGTTTAAGAACCCTGATGCCCTGGCGGGCTCAGAACTGGTACCACAAGGGGGTGACAATGGGAACAATTTCCAGGAGGAAAGTGGTTCTTACAGATGCGTCCAACCTGGGTTGGGGAGCTCAGCATGAGGGCATGCCTGCATCCGGCCTCTGGTCGAGCACGGAGCAGAGCTTACATATCAACTGTCTGGAGATGAAAGCAGTTGGTTTGGCCCTGAAGGCATTTCTGTCGAACCTCAGAGGTCACCATGTTTTAGTCCGCACAGACAATATGTCAGTGGTGGTCTAAATAAATCGCCAGGGGGGCATCAGGTCAGGAAACCTGCATGCGATGGCGAGAGACCTCCTCTTATGGGCACAAACCAACCTGAACTCTCTGAGGGCAGCGCATATCCCAGGCGTCCAGAATGTGAGCGCGGATATGCTCTCACGGGGCAACACTCCCCTCGGCGAGTGGTCCCTGAACCCACAGACGGTCAGTCTGATATGGAAGGTGTTTGGAGAGGCCGAAATAGACCTTTTCGCCTCGAGAATCAACACCCACTGCAAATTGTTCTTCTCGAAGAACAGGGACGCGCTGGCCCATGTCTGGCCCAACCATCCCCTTTATGCCTTTCCCCCCGTTTCAATGATTCCACAAGTCATCAAACGGGTCAGAGAGAGCGGATGCCCAGTCCTTCTGGTGGCCCCTCTCTGGAAAACCAGACCGTGGTTCCCGGAACTGGTTCAGTTATCGGACACAATCCCATGGCCTGTCCCACTGAGGAAAGACCTCCTCACACAGGCGAACGGGACACTGTGGCATCCGAGACCCGATTTATAGGCCCTCCATGTTTGGCCCCTCAACGGGTACCAAAGGTCCTTCCTGAGAAGGTTCTAAGCACCATTTCTGAAGCCAGGGCCCCTTCGACTCGGCGCCTTTATGCTTCAAAATGGTCGGTTTTTCCAGCTGGTGCTCGGAAAATCAGGCTGACCCAGAGTCATGTGAGATATCTGTGGTTACATTCTTAAAAGGGGCTGCTGGATGAGGGTCGCTCCCCGTCCACGCTCAAAGTGTATGTGGCAGCCATAGCAGCACATTATGTTCTGGTGGCTGGCCAGTCACTGGGAAAAAACGACCTGGTCGTGAGATTCCTTAAAGGTGCTAGGAGAATGAACCCCTCCAGACCTCCGTCTGTGCTGTCTTGGGACCTCTCCACGGTCCTGGGGGCTCTGAAAGGTCCGCCTTTTGAACCGCTCCAATCGGTTGATCTAAAACCTCTCTCGCTGAAGACCGCTCTCCTTATGGCGTTGGCATCCATCAAGCGAGTGGGAGATCTGCAGGCGCTCTCTGTGAGCCCTGCATGTTTGGAGTTGGGTCCAGATGGCTCCAGAGTCATCCTCAAGCCATGACATGGTTACGTTCCTAAAGTGCTCTCAACACTGTTCAGAGCACAGGTGGTGACGTTATCAGCCCTCCCTCCTTCTGCAGAGGATGGAGAGGTTAATCTTCTCTGCCCTGTCAGAGCGCTGAGAATCTATCTGGAGCGTTCTGCGTCTTTTAGACAATCAGAACAGCTTTTTGTCTGCTTTGGTGGTAGATCCAAGGGGGATCCAGTCACTAAGCAAAGACTGTCTAGATGGATAGTGGATGCTATTTCTATGGCTTATACCGCAGCGGGTCAAGTTTGCCCTATAGGCATCAGGGCCCATTCGACCAGAGGTATGGCCTCGTCATGGGCTTGGTCATCTGGCATTCCCATCAGGGATATTTGTGATGCGGCCGGCTGGTCCTCGCCTTCCACATTTATGAATTTCCATAATATGGAAGTGCCTTCCCTGCAGGCGAAGATGCTTTCGGTATGATTAAGACCCGTCGGTGGCTGGTCTTGTCATATATTACTGTGCACAATCACATTCACATATATATAAAACCCGCTTTGGCCGGTTATATACCATACATATATAAACCCGCTTTGGCCGGTTATAATTATATATATAAACCCACTTGACTGGTGGTATGTTCATATACTAATAACCCCGACAGGGTCTGGGTTCATTGGTGTAGTAGGTTGGGTTATTACTAACTGAGGTGTACTATTTAGACCTGACGGTGTCTGGTCTATTTATACATAATTATGCGGTTATGGCTTGTTCTGTATAGCCTCGTGAGACCATCCTGATCTCGCGAGCTTTCAAGGTTTCACTCGCAGATCAGTCTGGATACTTTCCGTTAAAGAAAATTTGGGAGCAGTTCACCAAACGAACGTCCAATCAGCGTTGGCTTTGAGGCGGGTTGAGGTGTGACGCAACGAGAAGCGCGTCAGTTCAGTCTAAAGAACATGTCGGCTTCAGCGGATGAAACTAGCATCAGCGTGGCTATCGAGCAAGTTTTATCGGAATTACAGAGTATTTCTTCACTGAAAGAAAAGCAAAACACTGCTCTGGAGGCTTTTCTCAGAGGAGAAGATACGCTCTGTTAGTACGTCATATGCTTCGTTGATCTGATTGGTTGATTTGGCCCGTCTTTCACCAACATAGGCCAATCAGCTAACCAGTATTTTCGCCCCTTACCAAAACTACTTCAACGGAAGGTTTCCAGATGGATATGCGGAGCAAATCCATCTGGCGGAGTCAGGTTATGTTCTGTATGCTCAGGGGTCCTGAGTTGCAGTAGCAGCCAGTTATCCAGTGTGGCGTTTTGCATGGCGTCCCCACTGCGTATAGCTACGCAATACGAAGTGACCGTTTGAAAGGGAACTACTCGGTTACTCACGTAACCTCAGTTCCCTGAGTTAGGGCACGAGTATTGCGTAGCCAGCCGCACTATAGTAACATGGCAAGTTGTCGCTTCAGTCGTTAAACCTGCTATAATGGCGAATTCGGGGACGTTTATAGTCTGAGGACACGCCCCCTAGGCGGGCTCTGACGTGCGACCAATGAGATCACTCTGCGTCATACACGTCAGAGCCCGCAGTTGCCGCAGCGCAGCCTATGAGCGAGCCAGACGCTCATGTTCTGCTGTGCAGCTGCAAATGCGCTTTACATAAAGGCTTCAGTAAATCGAGGAAAAGGAGTTTCCCCACTGCGTATAGCTACGCAATACTCGTTCCCTAACTCAGGGAACTGAGGTTACACCGAGTTTCAGTGCAGCTTCAAAGTCTCGACATGATCCCAGCCGAGGAATAAGAGTCTTATCTAGACAAACCAGCGGACATTTTATAAACAAAATAAACCATTAAATACTTTTTAACCATAAATGCTCATCTTTGCAAAGAAATTCAACTGTGTCCCGAAGAAGATTTATCTATTCCATACTAGTGCTTTTTTGTATTTAGTCCAATACATTTGAAGAATACTGCTATTTCTCACCAGGCTCTGAACTTTTGAATAAAGTGATATTGTTCAGGCTGATATTAATGATTTTCACTGTCTCAGATCAGGAGCGATGGCCATCTGCGTTTGAGCACTGCAGGGGGAAGTCTCAGTCTCCAGTCAACATAGACACTCATAAGGTTTTCTATGAGCCCAGACTCCCTGCCATTCAGCTGGAGGGTTATGATCTCACCGGCTCGCCCGCTCTCACACTCATCAACAACGGACACACACGTAAGTCAAGGCCAAACGCAAGGTTTCCAGCACGGACGAATGTCACATCTGCACACCAGAACAAAACATCTCTGGAATTAAAAAAGTGTTATAAGTATATTGCTGTTCAACAAACAAAAAGTTTATATGAAGTATCCTAAATTTTATTGCAAGTTACTTTTATTTTTGCTTCAACAAAACTTGTTTAAAATGAAGTCAAAGCAATTGTTACATCTCCGAGCAACACACAACGAGGTGTTTCGTTTCTAAATGAATCAGAGTTTTTGAAAACACAGTTGAGTGAATGTTTCAATGACTCACATGTTTCGGTCCTGAATCAGTGTTGATCAAGTTTGTCGAGTGAATGATTTAGTCTTAATAAATTAACTCATAAAGAAGGTCACTTGTTGCCAGTTTAATGTTTTTACCGCTAGAAGTGTAAAGTTTAAAAGAGTAGCTTTAAATACTTAGAAATACAAAATGGACTTAATTTTACTTTATTTATTTACCAGTTGTTTCGCTGTTGATTTTGAAAGATTACATTTCACCAAATAAAAGGCTGTCATTCAAAAAACAGTCGGTATTATTTTATGATACGTTTACTTTCTATCCTTTTTCAAAGCTTAAAGAGAAGTCCAGCAATCTTTTATAAAAAAAAATTATTATAAAAAAATGTCCTTTTAATTTAATTTTATGTTCAAAAAGGAAAGTAAATAATGATATGAAGTGTGACACTTTTGCCCTCGGTTGAAACCAGAGTTTGTTTCACTCGTTGTATTGCCTGCGGTGTGAAAGGTCCACCGTTTGGCTGGCACATGTTGATGTACTGAGCCTGAAGTGCCTGTTTGCTGTTCTCCTGTCAGTGCAGCTGAGCCTGCCGAGCAGCATGCGCATCGTGACGGGCTTTGAGCATGTGTACGTCGCAGCCCAGCTTCACTTTCACTGGGGAACTACAGCAGTCCCTGGCTCAGAGCACACCGTGGATAACATACACTTCCCGGCTGAGGTGAGCAGAGATGGAGGCCGTTTATAAAACTATAGCCACTTTCACACATGCAGCCTTTTCTGGAAAACTACAATAACCTTTCATCGTTTAGAGATCATGTTGAGAGGTGTAGACACACTGAGAAATAATACTGGTAAATCACTTCTGGCTTTTACGGGGATGAGAAGGGATGCTCTGTGTGAACAAAGCTTACCTGTATGAGGTCAGGACTGCTTTAGGCCAATCATGATGTTCCCATATGGATATACGACATACACTATTACTGTTAGTGTTTACAGCACTGTGACTCGAACAGTGAATGTGTGTGCTGCTGTGTGAATCCTTTCACTAAAACGACAGAAGGTAGGCCTACATTTAACAAAAAAGGCAATCCAGCAATTTTAAGGCGTGGATTTTAATGTTTTAAAGTGGCTAATGTAAAGCAACAGCCAATAATTTTTTTCCGTATGGAATTCCCAAACTGATCTCATGAGAAACCATAACTATTGAACGAGGTGACGATATCATACGAATTCATATGATGTGATCCGTACCAAAATTAGTTTTTTTCTTCATAAATGTATCATGAAGCTCCAGCCCTATAACCGTCAACGGGCTGGCTGTATGTAGATCATGCAAAAACATGCAAATGGGAAGATGAATTTAGCCATCAATTCACCAAAACTTAAAACAGTTATGAATTGCCATGAGATTGTGTCTATTGTTGTTTTTTTAATTGTTTTTTTTTTATTAATATAATGTGTTTTAAATATGTAGCCTATATATTTGTTCAACATTTTTTACAACTTGTTTGCTGTTTTAGAAAAAAATGTTTTACATTTCGTTTTTGAATTAAAAGTTAGGAAAAGAAGTTGATGCAGATTGGTGTTAAACTAATTTTGATCAAGTAAATTTGATTAACAAATTAAATGCATTACAAAATTTAAACTGAATTCCATATTTTCTATAGTTTTTCAAACCAGCGTACTTACTGTTACAGTTCACACATCCAGCAAATGCATTCTTTTGCCTGAAGTTTGACATTTTGAGATCATTTAAAGGTGTAAAAACAAAAACACACTGACTTACAGATGTTAATTCTGAAAGAGTTTCCACATCCCTAGTCTCCCCTACATCTCAGCTTTCTTTAACAAACTATTCCATCATTCAGTCAATTTCTCCCTAAAAATCAACACTGAAAAAGTCTGCAGATTCTTTCTTTCCTAATCATAAGTGATTACAAACATTGCAAATAATGTGTAACATATTGCATAATACTACGTTACGACAATTTCCCCATTTCCTCATTTCCCCAGATCCACGTGGTTCATTATAACTCCAAATATGCAAATCTGATTGAGGCTGCTAGTAAAGCTGATGGATTGGCAGTGTTAGGAGGATTCATAGGTGTAAGTCTTCTGACTAAAACCTTTCTGGCTACAGCAAACTTTTCTAAGCAGCAGAATGTGGTTTGATTAATAACGTCTTTGCAAATACTTCGTTTGTTAATATTTTCTTTTGACTTTTTCCTCAACAGATTGGCCTGCATGAAAATGACAACTATGAAAAGATCCTGTCTGCTTTAACAGACATCAGCATAGAGGGTAAGAACGGGAACTAATGCCACAGTTATACTGAAAGCTGGCACAGAAATGCTTCTAGGCTGTTTAATGCTGATCAGAAGAGGCACAAAAACTGTATTCACAGCAGGCGTTTAGAGCACTTTTGGAGTCCTTAAAGGGATAGTTCACCCAAAAATGAAAATGAAGTCATTAATTACTCGCCCTCATGTTGTTACAACCCCCGTAAGACCTTCGTTTATCTTCGGAACACAAATGAAGATATTTTGATTAAATTTGAGAGCTGGATCACTGCTACATAGGCTTCCTAAGGGAGTGAAACTTGACGGCCCAGAAAGTCATTGAAGAAAATGTTCAAATAGTCCAAGTGACTACAGTGGCTCAACTATAAGTTTATCAAGCGACGAGAATACTTTTTGTGCGGAAAAACAAACAAAAATAACGACTTTATTCGACTATTCCTTTTCTTCCTTGTGGGCCTGAGATGAGAGTTCAAGAGATTTCCACGACGCATGCACGAGAACTGAACAAGAAGTAGTAGAAGAAGAACGTCCTCTTCTCAGTTCTCGCGCATGCATCGTGGAAATCTCTTGAACTCTCGTCTCAGGCCCACAAGGAAGAAAAGGAATAGTCGAATAAAGTCGTTATTTTTGTTTGTTTTTCCGCACAAAAAGTACTCGGTACATATATTGTTCTCATCAAGCCGGACAACTTTCTAATTTACAGTCATTAGCTCCGACCAACAGAAAGTCAGTTATTCTGTACATTTTATAATGTGGATTTTGAATTACTGCTCCGAAAGGCTTCATACGATTCACACCAAACTTTCTCACCATGATGCCAATATTGCAAACAGTCATTTCTTCTAAATAATAAATGAATTTATTAGACCATATAAAGACCATTTATTTATATATAAAACAATACAAATAAAAAGTAAAAAACACATTTTATTATTTTTTATATCCAATCTATAATTACTGCTTTATGTGCAGGTTAAAAATATGCAGATTTCGTGCTATCTGGTTAAAATAAATAAATCAAATCAAATGTAATGCTTATTAAGGTCTATTTATAAACAGGGTTGAGAAAAGCCTTGTTGAAGAGAACAGAGGTTTCAGACATGATTACTTTTATTAGCTATTGCATTTGGATATATATTTAGACATTATCAAAGAATACTTTCTGTCACAGCTTAGATTTTATTTTTGTTTAAAATTTTGTTGGATTTTCTGGCTCAACTAGCCAGTCTCCAACTGATCTGTGTGTGTGTGTGTGTGTGTGTGTGTGTGTGTGTAAATGTGTAAATGTGTAAATATGTAAATATGGCATATTAAGTTGATTTTGACAGTTCTTTCACATTTACACACTTTAAATGCACATTGCCCACCTACGCTTTATTTTAGTTTGGCTTTTATGTGCCATTGCGTCTTTACACTGAATTCTGAGCAGCCTTAACTCGACTGTGTGAAGATGCCTTAATATCTGTCAACTAAGAAAAGCATTGCTGATGTTTCTGAACCAAGTGGAGATGTATTATCGTCTAACCTGATCTAATGGTCTTTTTGTCAGAGTCAAACACTGAGATTCCTGGTTTTAATGTGCGCCATCTTCTGCCAAACAGCCTGGAGGGGTTTTACAGGTACGCCGGGTCCCTGACGACCCCTCCCTGCTTTCAGACGGTCAGCTGGACTCTGTTCAATGACTCGATCAGAGTGTCAAGAAGACAGGTCAGGCTATCTCACAGCCTCATCTTCAACCTGGACAGAAACACATGAACATGGCATTATCTTGCATAACTCACCGCGTTCTTCTTTCTTCTGCTAGCTAGCGGCATTGGAGGACTCGCTGAAGACTGAACACAACAAGCTTCTGTCCAGAAACTTCAGAGCGCCACAACTCCTGCACGGGAGAAAAGTGCTGGCATCTTTCCACACCGCATCCACTACGGGAAGTATGTGCATTAGGTCTCTTTTAGACCCGTGTAACATTAAAAATGTAGATTAGTCTAATATAAATTCGAAAAGTAAGACTGATTACCCCGTGTTAATCGCCAGTGGGTCACCAGTTCTTAAGACAGTCTGAACTTATCGGCTATATGTTTATGCAACTGGCCCCTGCTTTCTTCACAACTTACAGTGGCCCCTAGAAGCATCGGAAGTCTTATTTATGAAAACGGCTGAATATCTTATATTACAAAAAAGCTACATGATCAAATTAAGCATATGATGCGTTGTATTGTGTACATGCACGTTGTTCTGCAAAACTCTTGGCGACTGTGTTTTTGCTGTTATTGGGGATGGAGTGGGGAAGGTTTAGGGTTAGGGTTCATTCAGTAGTGTTATTACATGTGATTAGCATTTATTTACACAAGTGATTTAAAAACAGCTAATATTAAGTGGCTCTATAGCGTTGTATCTTTTTAAACCCAAAAAAATTCTAAATGCCACTTGTTTTAATATTATTTCAAGAAAATATTCAGTAATTTATCTACACTGACTCTCAGGCCCTGTTTACACGAAAACGATTCCGGGTGAAAACGTAATAATATTTTATCGGATGTGCCTTTCGTTTACACGGCGATGGCGTTTTTGGGGCTTAAAAACGCAAAAAAGTGAAACCACCCTCCAAAGTGGAAATCTTAAAAACGCTCCACCGTCGCGTTTCCGTCTAAACGGGTAAAAACGCAAATCTGCTCATGGCGGCTCTCGTCGCGTACGCATTTACGTCACAGGCATGCGCCAGTACAGGAAAATAACAACCAACATGTCGGATTATTTCCATACGTCGGACCTTCAAGTTGCCCTAGCAGCTCTGATAAACGTCCAAGAGTCTTTTCAATTTCGCGCTACTAGGGAGAGAAGTAGAAGGAAGGTTGTACGCAGGCGCACGGACTTGTTGTTGTTGTGTGGCAGTGCTTCACATTGCCACCTAGCCGCCTGGAGTGCATACTACATCGCATTTCTAACACTTTTGCGTCTCCATATGCACGCAGATTTCCCCCCCATAACGCTCGTCTAAACGCAGAATAAAAAGTGAAAACGAAACGCCACTTTTGCGTTTTCTCTTCAGATCGTTTCCGTGTAAACATGGCCTCAGATGAGAACAAATTTTGAATTGAAGTGAGCTGGAAAATTACACTAATTTTGCAACATCAACACAGTTATTGAACTGAAACGAATCCACATCGAACTAAATTGAGCTGAATAATGATACTATTATCTTCTGCAGAGCTGCTTTACAGCGGAAATTAAATACATTTTACAACATTTACACTCTTATTTTCCGGCTTATTACTGTGAAGTAAAAAAATCCAAATTGTGCTGGATTTGGCTGATATATGATTCTGTTAAATAACACATATGATGCGTAATTCACATTTATCAGTGTATGTAGATTAAGTGTTGCTTTCCACAGAAGCCGGAGAAGCTCCACGGCCTGAAACACACGACAACAGTGTAATGAAAACTAGTGGAGCTGAATGTAAGAATCTCTCATTTACTGTATGTGTAATGCAAACCTGATTACAAATCGACTGGAGACAATGTGATGTGTTGACAGGGCACGTTCTGGCCATTACGTTTGGCGTTCTCTTCGCCGTCACATTGCTGGTCTTCTCCGTGTACACATATCGACAGCAGAAAAAGTACTCAAAGTATGTTCATGCCCATCTTATTCATCACCACTTGATTTAAGACAGGTTGTGTTTGTAACTTTTACTGCTCTCCGCTTTTTGGACTTCACGTGCTTCTCTCTGTCTCTCTACAGGTTTAAAAAAGACTCCAAGCAAAATGTTATTTATAAACCAGCTGCCAAAGACGCAGATCCAACCTCTGTTACTGTAACATGAGCCACGGTTATTCTGAAACTGTTGTGTCTTGTTTGTTTGTTTGTTGAGGAATGAGTCTTGAAAGTGAGATTTTGGAATGAATTTTCCAAACAAAATATGGTTTGCAAACTAGTAGAAGCGTTTGTCTGTGATCAATCTTATAACTATGTTGTATCGTTGTATGTTCTGGTATGTTGTAGCTATGTCACTATATGTGTCAGGATATTGTTAACATACACGCTTAAAATAAAGGTTCCAAAAGGGGTTTTCGCATTCAAAGAAGAACTAATGGAATGTGAATATTCCATGGATGATGAAGGTTCTTTATGGAACTACAGATGCCAATATAGAACATTCATTTTAAGAGTGTAAATGTGTCTAATATTAAAGTTTTTTTTTAATATTTTAGTTTTTTCCAAAATGTTGGAATTTAGGAAATTAATCAGATCATAATATCAAGTAAATATTTCATTCATCCACCCACAAAATGTATTGTGGTATTTTAAGTTTCTAAAGTTAGCTCTGAAAAGCTCCCAGCCTACATTCCCACAATCCAGCCTTCTGAGAGTGGACCACAAACATGATTCACTCATTTTATGCTGACGATTTCCACACATTCTTATGTGAAGCTGCGTGACGAATCCTGTAGGCACCAGTATTGCTTAAGATGATTAAACTTTGATATCTGAAAGCTCTTACTGTTTCTCATTTAAAGTTCATGAGTTACATTATATATGTTAAATGTATAGAAAGTTATGCCTGGTCATGTAAAGGATTGTGTGTATTTCAACACAACTCTGGTGAAGACTGAAGAATTATGCAATCTAAAGCACTGGGGAGGTCACGGGGTCAGTTACACATTGACCGAAGGGCAGAGGTCACATGACCCTGAGAGCCTAACGTGTCAAAGCAGCAAATATCACTAACACTTTACTAAGTTAAGTTAAGGCAATAGCTACCTTGAAACAGCAGTGCTTTGCATTTACTAATCTTGGTTAATGTCAATTTCTACATAAACAGAGTAGTTGCCAAAAGTGATGTCCGGCAGGGATATTTGCTCTTAATGATCCTAAAAGCTTGATTAAACCATCAAAATGTGAGATATATATATAATATATATATATATATATATATATATATATATATTATAAATATGAAGAACACTAAACTTGGTTAAAGTCAAAAAGCCAAACTACAACTACAGGTTTTTTTTAAATGCAAAAATAAAAAAAAAGCATAGAAAAACAAAAAGCTTACAGGAAAGAAAAAAAAACATACATTGACTACAACATAATCAGCAATATTTAGTTGTTTCTCTCGTTTTTGCTGACAGAAATTATGCCGGAATGTTTCATTGCGTTATAAAACTATTGACTAACAAAATCTTGAATACATTTTTCATATTTGAATAAGATGTATTTTTCCCAGAAAGATATCACTTTGGCCACTGCTGTACATTTGTAACATTTTAGGAATGAACATGAATTAATAAAATATTTAAACACTAACAATAAACTAGATTAATGCCGTGTAGTCATGATACCGGAGGCATTCACCAATGTTAATGAATTGAACGTCGATGTAAAGTGTCACCCAAACACACTGGAGTCCAAACATCACTTGATGCATTCAGTTAAATGTGCACCATATCTGCATGAGCACATATTTCACTTCCCCACAAATAACTGTGACTCCATGAAATGATTAACAGGGTCTTTTTAATCTTTTTGTGTTTTTATAATCAATCAATCAATGAACCGCAATCTGATTCCCTGTTTGGCACATCATATTCTTAGAAACATTATAAAGCAACATTAAAATGTTACATAATTACAAGAAGTCCTTTTGTAATTGAAATTCAGGAAAGCACCGAGTTATTGTGTCTCAATATACAGAACAGAGCATGAAGAGAGATGCATCTGCACAGGTCTGAACACTGGATGCCAAGCGCAGAGCACACACACACACACACACACACACACGGAGGATGAGTACAGAGAGTAATACACACACTGAGCGCTGTGTGTGTGTGCGTTACGGCTGGTGTGTCAGTGATACTGCGATGATGTTAGTGTGCTGGGTTAGGAATTAAAGCTGTGTGTGAGTCTTTGAGATGATGAGTGTGAGATCTTCATCCGACTGTCCTGCACGTGATGACAACACTGTCCACTTCCCGGGAATATCCAGACATTGCTTCCCGTCCACGCGTGTGAAGGTTGCATTCAATTGTCAGAAATAGATTGAAAATGAGGTTTAGCTGCTCTGTTACTGAGCTACAAACAAATGGCGGATACACTTTATTTTAACGTGTCCTTGTTACTGTAGGTACTGAGTAATAATACTTAACATGTACTTACTATAAGGGTAGTTGTGTGTAATTATGCATAATTTACTGTCATGACTATAGTACATAGTACATGCAATGTGTGTAACAAGGACACGGTAAAATTAAATGTTATCCAAATGACTTATTCAATATTGACGAAAAATGATGGTTACACTATTTTAAGGTGTCCGTGTTTCAGGTATAAGGTAACTATACGGGTAAGGTTAGGGACAGGGTTAGTACCTAGTTATGGTAATTACAGTAACACTTTACAATCAGGTTCATTAGTTGACTACCTAATCAACATGAACTATGAATGAACAATACTTCTATTATTGTTTTTATTAATCTTAGTTAATATTAGTTTCAACATTTACTAATACGTTATTAAAACCAAAGGTTGTATTTGTTAACATTAGTTAAAGCTGCTGTCCGTAGCTTTTTTTGGGTTAAAAATTATCCAAAATACATATTTGATAAAATACATAACCAGCCAGTGTTCAAAACTATCTGCTTGCCTTAGCTCGATGCAAAACGGTAAGCTTGTAATAATGTTTTTAATTTTAGTGGTACTGGTGGATTTCCGCGGGAGATTCGAGCATGTCTTTGCGTCATTACGTCACATCTGTACACATAAAGAAGGAGTCTCGGCTAGTATAAGCTATATTGCGTGTGAGGATGTTGGAGGTAGAGATTTATAGCCTTTTCTCACAGCACTTGATATAATTAAACTTATCAATTTGATGTCGGATCCAGAAAGGTTCAAACGACGATCATCATCAGTGACAACTAGAGACTCACCCGCTGTAACATGCAAAAGACTTCGTTCGGACTTCGGAGTGGCTACAGAAAAAAAGAGACTGCAACCGGACCCATGCGAAAACAAGGATAATATCGGAAGGACATTACATGATGTAGTCACGCAATGCTTGCTGATGTTGTTAACATTAACAATTAGAGAACATAGTATAGCTACTTTGCACGGTTTTGCGTGAAATGATAACTTATAAGCAATTGTTAGATTTAATCAGCGCGATTTACTGCAATGTCAGAACCAGAACAAAGGTGGATGTTTCTTACTAGTTCAGATGACATTTCCCGGTGAAAATTCTTATGTTGGTCATACTTCCAAAAAGAATAATCTGTGATTCTGAATGACAATATCCACATCGGCGCGGTGACCGACAGCTGCACACTCTCCTCAAACACTGTGTTCATCCGCGCTGTGCCGTGTCGAGGGTGTTGAACTACAACCCACGTAAAGTTGATAATTCTGCGAATGACTGCAATTGCAGATTTCGAACAGAGATGGCGACAAAGAGGAAAAATGCCGGACTGCAGCTTTAATGCACTGTGAACTAACAATGAACAGCTGTATTTTTATTAACTAACATTAACAAAGATTAAGAAATACTGTAACAAGTGTATTGCTCATTGTTAGTTCATGCTAGTTACTACATTAACTAATGAAGCTTATTGTAAATGCTACCGTAATTACTATAAGTACATAGTATGCACATGGGGAACAGGACTGTAAAATGAAGTGCTGATGGATTTGGTTTAGGGTCAGTCGCATTAAACACCACCAGAACGACTTTAGAAACTGATGATAGGCATCGATCCGGCCAAAAACTGCATAATTACACAGAGACATTTGTTCAGTTTGAGAACGGCGTAAAAGTTAAATGTTCTCGTTGTGCATTCATCTGTCACGAAGAACGTGTTCCAGAATGTACAGTACAAATATGAAAGGCCTTCAATGCCAATAAATGGAAATGATCTTGACTAATACTAATAATGATGATGATGATGATGACATGAGTGAAAGAGGAGCTGTTTCGAACACTTCCTCGGTCTAACAGTGGCTCTACAATAAGGCTTCATTCAAAATGTAAAGGACATCAATTAAGAAAACTCAAAACCACAAACATTCACAAGAAGAGCCAGAGAATGTTGCTTTTAAAACAAAATAATATTAAAGATCAGTCTGATTGATTTGCATGGAGATCAAGCTATATACAGTGTTTGCGTGAGAGTGTCCCGTCTGAGTGTGTCCGATGTGTGTCTGGGTCTCCTCAGGGTTCGGATCCGCCGATGTGCTCTTCACACACACTCCTGTCGTTCAGCCGAGCCTGGATCTCACTGTGTAGATTCGCCTTCAGCTTTCCTGCCTGCGCACACACACACACACACACACACACACACTATTAGACAAACGGGACGTATCAAGGGCTTGGGATGGTGTGAGCACTGGTCATGATTATATTGGCTTTTGGCTTGCTTAGTTGTGGACACTTAATATTCAGCAATATTATTGCTCTGCCTGCATTGACACCATTATATGAGAACTGAACTGAGCTGGACGATGACATCACTGTTTTATAACTAAATGAATCACTTTTTTACTACAGAAATTAACCATCACTGAACTCACCTAAGCTGGACTATGACGGTATTTTCCTCTAGATCTGCTGTACAGCCGAAACACACTGTTGCATTATTTTCCTGTGATCTCTGTAAAACTGCTTTGAAACACTCTGTATAATAAAAGCGCAGTATAAATAAAGCTGACTTGACTTGATCAGTGGGAGGATTTGCTGCTGCAACTGCTCTTAAAGGGGTCATATAATGGTGCATGCACTTTTACAAGTTGATTGTACTGAAATGTGTGTTGGCAGTGCCTGTACACAACCATCATACAATGATAAAAATCCATCCAGTGTTTTTGTTTTAATCTCCTTATATGTTTTCCCCTGCCTCAAATCGAGCCGTTCGAGCCTGTGACGTCACACGGTCGGAAGCCCCTCCCACGATTGTTGATTGACAGCAGCGTTTCAACAGACCCGCCCTCGCTCGTGAGAGCTGTCAATCATAGTCTGCGCGGACCGGCGCGGTCATTGTTGATATGCTGGAGCACTGTCTATGAGCAGAATGGCGTCTAAGCGATTGTGGTGTTCTGTTCTTGGGTGTAATAACGAACACAGTCATTTTATTGTTCCTAAATCCGAACCGCTGAAGACGCAGTGGCTGAGTTTGTTTTCGAAGGGAATATTCCCCACGAGCAACGTCAATGCTCTCATGTTTGCGCGAATCATTTCTCACCAGACTGCTTTATAAACGAGGGTCAGTATAAAGCTGGATTTGCTAAGAAGCTGCTCACGAAAAAAGGATCGGTACCAGATATTCGGGTTCCTGCTGAACCTCTAGAACAACTGAAGTGAGTGTAACGTTTTATTAAACTTTATATTAATATTTATATTAATCTTTGCAAATCGCTTGCACGCTTCACAATGAATGCGTCTAAGGTTTACACTTAGAAAACATGCCGTAATGTACCCTATGTATGATGTTAGTTTATACTGAACAACGCGTTATGGTTATTGTGTTACAAACGGTGTACGCAGAACAGAGAGGCGGAGTCAGCAAAGCTCATTATTATTTAAAGTCATATGCACCGAAACGGCGTGCTGAAAACAGAGCTGTTTTTGACCAGGTAAAATAAGTGTTTTCTTACAATACTAATGAGAATTTTTAATTAAAGTATATTACAAACTTTTAATTTAGACCCTAAAGAATCATATTAGCTTGTACAAAAATGGCATTATATGACCCCTTTAAGGTCCTTGCGAAAATTTCTGACTCAGAGTGCATGTAAAAAAAATAAAAAAAATAAAAATAAAAAAATACGACCTCAAGTTGTGTCAATCACGTTTGACACTGCCTCCGAAACTTTCATCCATCATGAAAAAATTCGGATCGGGTTCGATTTTCTGTGTTTTCCGCATCCGTAGCAAGCAGTTTGAGAGGTGTTTTGACAATTTAGAGCCACCGAATCACGAATACGGAAAAACGCATATGAAAATTTTGGACAAGTGTGCAAGGACTTTTAGGCCCAGTCCCAATTCTCACTTGAGCCCTAAGGCCTTCCTGGAAGTGGACACTTGTTGAAAGTGCACTTAGCGGAGTAAGTGCGCAAGGGCCCGAAGCTGTGAAGAGCAGAATTGGGACAGTTTTGCACACGTCACTTCTGTTGTGATCAGGAGAGCAAACACCATTCATTTGGCTAATGTGTGTGCTGCTTATAATAGCTGTAACATGACACAATCCTTTGAATGAAAAAAATAATATCTTTTTTTACTCTTAGCTACCAACCTTTCTGTTAATGTTATTAATATTAAAAAGTTTTTGGCTAAGATAAATTGTGATTGGGGTTTACCTGAGCTTATACTGCCTTACCGTATTCACAGCGATTCGAAATGCAATTTTAATTATGTTATTATGGAAATTGATATATGAAATTCTTCCCATCCCATACATGAAAAAATACATGACGTGTTGGTGATATATTATATATAGGCTAAGGCTATATATTAAAAGTCTATATGAATAGGCTATATGAAATAAAATGACACAACCCTGTCTCTTTTTGTTAAATTTCAGTTTTATTGATCAATAATAGCCATTATTAAATTATAAGTAGCCTAAAAAGTATAAGAAGCTATATAAGTCAAGAAATAAAGCAAGTTAAAAGATTCAGTCAAACATAAGTCAACAGGCTAACGTTACAACGTTACAGTTAAATAGCATAAATATATAAAGTTATGAAACTTCACTTTGCCCTCAGCCAAAACGATTTGCCAGGGAACAAATCATAGATTAATGAGACCAAAGATCGCCTGTTAGATATACACAAGCCGATTTATAGCTCATGTTTAACCACTAGACACAGAGCCCGTGGGAAACGTCAGAATGACTAGCCGAGGTAAGGCTGTTCCAGGCGGGGTATATGAGCGCTGTGCGCCCGCTGATCCCTGGAACTCCGAAAAAGTCCGATCAAAATTTTAAATAGGCGCTATCTTTGTAAACAAACCACAGATTTGAGCTTTAAACAACTATATTCTCGACTGAAAAACTCTTAAAACTACATTTCGTGACACGATAACACTAATATTTTTAAATTTCACGGCCTTGAAAAACACTTCACCATACCGGCTTCCTTTATCTTCTGAGTTTCCGCTCCCGAACAGCACCATAGCAACCATTCTCCCCCATTGGTTAGCTGTTCGAAACGTCACAACACTACAAGGATTCTGGGTAATATCCCACAGCAAAGTGAGGTCTGATGCGCACTTGCGAAAGGGGTGCATTAAGTGCCCTTATGATCACCCCTGGAGAACACTATTAGAGGATCGGGACACCCTACGGTCTTGCACCCCTTAGCGAGAACGCGCATTGAGGGGCACAAGGGCGCAAGTGCGGGTATTGGGACAGGGCCTTAGTCTTTAGAAAAAGGTCAGGGGTCAGACTCACCAAACATGCCCATCGGGAAGCACTTTCACTAGCTTCATCAGTCATATAGAGCAGTGTCTCCCAAACCTGAGGCCTGTTGCATGAAGCTAGCTGAACAAACTATGGGTTTTAGAGTAGGTTTAAAGCTGACTAAACCTTACCAATATTCACCCTGGTTTAGATCAGGTTCAGTGGGCGGTAACTCCGCCAAGGACGGTCCCAAGCCCGGCTGCAAAAGGAGGAGGGTTGGGCGTGGGGCTAGCTACCCCACCCTATAAAAAAAAACGCTAGCTACAGAAACGCCAACAGGAGATCAGGACATTTCAGCCCTGGGAGGAGATGGGACTTCGTCAAGAAGAAGTATGACGCCATGTAGTGAAAGCCGGAAGTCTCTGGAAGCTGCACGGCCGACAACCCTTCTTAATACCAGGACAACAAACATAGGAACATGGAACGTACGAACTATGTATGAGATAGGGAAGACTTTTGAGGTAGCAGCAGAAATGAAGAACTTCAAGCTCACCCTGCTTGGAGTCAGCGAGACTAGATGGACACAGTCAGGACAGAGGCGACTATCGTCAGGAGAGATGATGCTGTACTCCGGACATGAAGAGGAAAATGCCCCCCACACCCAAGGAGTAGCACTGATGCTGTCAAAGGAAGCACAGAGAGCACTGATAGGATGGGAAGCCCATGGATCAAGAATTATCACAGCATCCTTCCGAACCAAGAAAAAGAAGATAAAGATGAACGTAATACAATGCTACGCTCCCACAAATGACAGCGATGAAGATGCAAAGGACCAGTTCTATAATAGACTACAGTCTATAGTGGAGAAGTACCCAGAGAGAGACGTCACAATACTGATGGGGGACCTAAACGCCAAGATTGGGAGGGACAACACGGGGTATGAAGGCATCATGGGGTGCCATGGACTTGGGGACATGAACGAAAACGGTGAGAGATTAGCAGACCTGTGTGCATTAAACAACTTAGTCATTGGTGGCAGCGTATTCCCCCACAAGAACATTCACAAAGCCACCTGGATGTCGCCGGACCACAAAACGGAGAATCAGATTGACCACATCTGCATAAACAAGAAGTTTAGAAGGTCCTTGCAGGATGTGCGAGTGAAGAGGGGAGCAGACGTGGCTTCGGACCACCACTTGGTGGTGGCCAGGCTGAAGCTAAAGTTAAAGAAAAACTGGATGGCGGCGAAATCATCAAGACAAAAGTTCAACACAGCTCTCCTGAGAGATGCAAGTAAGCAATACGAGTTTAAAGTGACCCTCAGCAACAAATTCCAAGCTCTGCAAGACATGTTGGAAGAAGATGACAGTAGTCTTGAAAAGAGGTGGGACACGTTAAAAGAAGCAGTGATAGGGACATGCCAGGAAGTGCTTGGCACAAAGAAACACCAGCATAAAGAGTGGATCTCTGCAGACAGTCTGAAAAAGATCAAGGAGAGGAAGGAAAAGAAGATGGCTGTAAACAACAGTCGCACGCGAGCAGAGAAGGCCAAGGCACAAGCAGAGTATACAGAAGCAAACAAGCAGACGAAGAAGAGCATTAGAGCAGACAAGAGGAAGTACATTGATGACCTGGCAACATCAGCAGAGGAAGCAGCGAGAGAGAACAACATGAAAGAACTGTATGACACCACCAAGAAGTTAGCAGGGAAGTACAGCAGACCGGAAAGACCAGTGAAGGATAAGAACGGAAGGTCAATTATGGGAGATGAGCAGCAAAGGAACAGATGGGTAGAGCACTTCGAGGAACTTTTGAACAGGCCAACACCACAAAACCCACCTGACATAAAACCAGCGAACGCAGATCTGCCGATAGACTGTGAAGTACCAACTAAAGAAGAAATAAGGAGGGC